AACCATACCCTTTTGCTGTCCCTGATATATTTCAACTGAAATCACATGCAAAGGTATAAACTGCATGTGGTTTTTTAATCACAATACTAGAAAGAAATAAAGCCAAATACATCTAAGAAACTCCTATGGGCAGGGAGACTGTGATTTTTTCACAGACCAGGCATCACCAATCCCCACTTTGTAGGTGAATCAAAACCCTCAAGTTCAAGGAAACAAAGTTGAGGCACTCCGATTCCCAAACATCCCTCTCCACCTTCTGCAAGGAAGGGAGGGCTCATGACACTCCTGGAGTTCCCTGTCTAGGCTAGACACTGAAGACTGACTGGCTCCTACCAATGGTGTTCTTCCTCTACCTCAGGTCAGGGCACTCCACTCTCATTACTGCAACAAGTGATGATCACTCTGATTGCGCTATAGTCCCTACTTTTCTCTGGATTTGGGGTTATTCTCCATTTCTGACTTTGGACCTGGCACATGACTCTTCTCCCCCCATTTTAGTAAACCCTGAGACTCAGAGATTTCAAGTGTGTCCAAGGTCACACAGAAAATGGTACTAGTACCCCGTACACTAGTACCAGGCAAGGCTGGTACTAGAACCCAGGACTCTTAGCCCAGAGGTGTCAAACTCATAGTAGCCTGTTGGCTGCATACAGCCCACAACACTTCTGAGTGTCCTCGAAGCAGATTAAAATGTAATAGGGAAATTTTTAACAAAATAAATAAAGATACAATAAAACATAGGTAGTATTTCTGTAAGGAAAGGCCGTAAGCGTAGAGAGGCCCACTGGTAATGAGGGCTGTCAGATGTGTAGGTCAAAGGGAGGCAGAATAGACATCTCTAGCTTTTTACTGACATACCCATCTCTAAGGAAGACTTTAATTCTTGCCAGAGAGGAAGCAGAGAGTTGGGGTCAGAGGCCACTCTGCTTTCCTCAGAAAGAGGAGGTCCTAGACTAGAATTACATCTATCTGTTCCCTTAAATATTATTAGTCTAGGGAATATCATTTGATTCAATCTAACTTCTGAATTCTCTGTCATCATTATCCTAAGCTCTATATCCAAGGCTTGACCCCTTCTCTACCTATGACCTTTTCCACAATGAATACACATAGCAAATAGCAAAGAAAGTTTCTCTAAATCAGGAGTGGGGAACTTGGGGCATCTTTTACTCAATCCTTAATAAAAGGATTTGTTCTGTAAAACTTGGACTCAGTCAAAAGGCCACACCCAAGGACCTGGAAGGTCACATATGGCCTCGAGGCCTCTGGTTCCCTCCCCCTGATCTAAATCAAAGCATCTAAAACAGAGAAGATACACATAAGAAAATATATATCAGATAATACAGAATATAAGCACTTTTCTATTGGGAATGAGATAACTCGATTCAACCAAGAGAGACTGTTCTTGACCTCATTCAAGAGAAAAAGCAATCTGGGAACAGGGCCAACATGATAGAGGCTGTCGGCTTCTCACATGTCTTCCCAGATTCTTTTCCTTCAGCTCCCTGGAGTGGGGTTGCCCTCTTCCATCTTCCCTCTCAAAGCTGGAAGCCAGAAACACCTGAAGTGACTCAAAGCTTGAAGAGTCACAAAAAGAACTGAAGAAGGCTAGAGCTTTCCTGGTCCTATCAACACTGCAAGGGATTCATCTCCACCAATAAGGAGAGAGCCCCATAGAAATCAGCTTTGGGACGGGAATTACATCACATTTTAAAACTAAGTCAATATGTATTTGCAGAATTCCTTGTGTATGGCTTAGTGGACCCCATTTCTATTGGAGTTTGACACCACTGTCTTAGTCCATGATTCTTTCCACTAGTCTTACTATGTCCCAAGAACTTTGCTAAGTGTTGGAAACACAAATACAAACAGAAAAATAGGAAGTCCCAGCCATCAGGAGCATACATTTTAGTGAGGGAAGACAGCACAGAAAAGAGAGTTGACAATGGTAAGAGTGGGAGAAGGTACCTGAGTGCCTTGAGTGGAGAAAGTCCGGAGACTGGGGAGCCTGCAGAAGAATGAGACATGGCTGGCCTGGGCACCCACCTTAAGTGGAAGTCCTTAAGAGGAGGAGGCATCCAATGAAAGAGAGGGAAAGAGCATCTGCAGGAGTGGGGGTGAGTTCCTCTTGTGTGTAAATTCTAGGGTTTCAGCCAGGCTTCAAAATAAGTGGAAAAAGGAGGTGAGGAAATCCAGGGTGCCACTTGCAGAGAATGAGTCTGGGGTGAGGTGAAAACAGGTCAGAGAGGTTGAATTATGTGAGTCTGAAATAGGGGAGCTGAACCTTGATTTGAGGGCAGTACTAGCATCACAGGTTTAGAGCCGGAAGGGATTTTAGGGGTTATTTGGATCCAATTCCCTCATTCTAAAAATCAGAGAACTGAGGCCTAGACAAGTCAAATAACTTGAGTATGGTTACACAGTTAGGCACAGCTAGGAAATGTCAGAGCTGTAGTTTGAACTTTGCTTTTCCCAAGTTCACTATGATACACATTATATATACCACACTGTCCTCTTACTAGAGAGTGATAGCCACTATGTTATGAGACCCCTATATTACTAGTGACTACAGACACTCCTAGCCCTCTATGCAGACACAGACAGACAGACAGACACACAGAGTATATCTAGCAGTCCAGATTGAAACAGAGGATGTCTGCCTGTCATTCTAAGGTTTTTTCCATTATACCACAACTGCATGTCTTTAAAGAGGCAGTGTTGCATACTGGATAGAGAATAAGACGTAGGATTATAAAAGCATGGTTTGAATCCTGCCTCAGATACTTAGTAGCTATATGACCCTGGGCTAATCAATTAACCTTTCCATCTCAGTTTCTTTACTTGTAAATTGGAAACAACAGGGCACACCTGGCAGGGTTGTTATATGGAACAAATAAGATAATGAATACAAGGTACTAAATAAATGTCAGCTTTCATTATGAAAAATCAAACCTTTATGTGTAGTAGAAGTGGAAAAACAGGCATTATTCATACTTAATTCATATAATTTAATATTATTTATATTTAATTTAATCCAATCCAATAAGCATTATTAGGTGCTATATGCCAGGAATGTTTTAAGTGCAGGAGATGCAAAGACAAAAACCAAAATATTAAATAAGCTGACATTCTATTCCATTTATATTGTATGATGGAGGCAACTTGGTGAAGGGGGTAGAAGAGAAGGGAATATGCATTTATACAGTGCCTGTTACATGCCAGGCACTGTACTAAATGCTTTACAAACACATTCTTATTTGAAGTAGAAAGAGCCCTATATCTGGAACATCATCTGACTTGGGTTTAAATGCTGATTCTCATTACTAATTTTGCCACTTACTACCAGCTTACTATGTACTTTGCCCAAATCTCTTAGAATCTCTGTGCCTTAGTTACTTCATCTATAAAATGAGAAGCTTTTGTTCAATGATCTCTAAACTCTCTTTCAAGCTAGATCTCTGACCTTATTATCCTCTCCAGCTCTAATCTTATGATTTATTTGTTTGCAAACATGTATGTGTGTATAGATAGACAGACAGATATACACATATACATATATATGCATATATACACACATATACCTGTTGGACATCTCAAGCTGGATGTCTTATAGATCTTAAATTCAACATGTCCAAAACTGAACTCACCTTTCCTCCAAAACTCTTCCTAACTTCTTACCACCATCAATTGTCCCAATGATGTAAACTCACAGCCTAGGTGTCATCCTTGACTTCTCAATCTCACTCACCCCATACAGCCAATCATTTGTCAAACTTTTTCATGTATGCCTTGACATGTCTCCTATAGACACCCTTCTCACACATCTGTCATTCTGGAGCAGACCCTCCTTACCTCATGTCTGGACTATTACAATAGCCTTCTAATTGTACTCCCTGCCCCAAGTTTCCCTCACTCTGGTCCATGCTCACCTATGAAACTGATCTTTTAAAAAGAAGGTCTGACCATGTCACCTTCCAAATCAATAAACTCTATTGGCTCTCTCAGGATCAAATATAAAATACTCTAGTTGGTATTTAAAGTCTTCCTACACTTCACTCTCCTCCCTCCCCTCCACCAGTGACATTGTCCCTCCTCGCTGTTCCTCAAACAAGACACTCTATCTCCAGACTCAGATTATTTTCACGGGGTGTCTCCCCTGCCTGGAATTCTGTCCCTCTGCATCTCTGCCTCCTAGTTTTCCTGGCTTCCTATAAATCTCTGCTAAAAATCAATCTTGTGCAAGAAATCTTTCCCAGCTCCCTTTATGCTGGATCTGAAATCATCTCCAATTTATCCTGTAGATAGAGAGATAGATAGATAGATAGATAGACAGACAGACAGACAGATCATAGCTGCTTGCATGTCTATCATTCGGGAACTTCTTGAGAGCAGGGACCACTTTGGCCTTTCTTTGTATCCTCAGCCTTAACAGTGCCCGGCAGACAGGATTTGAACCCAGGTCTTTGTGACTACAAATCTAGCACTTCATGCACTACTCCACCCAGCTGGCTTTAAAGGGCTTCTTTTTCTTAGGATCTTGAGAACTTGAGAACAAAGAGGCGCAACACCAGAAGTTTGGCCATCAATCAGGTGATTAACAAGCATTTGTCGAGTGTCTACCAACAAGTGATTCCAAACTCCTTTTCCAGTTCTAGACCTATGATCCTATGATCTCTGTCTAATCCTAATGTACGTTGGCAAATGCGTACGTTGTTTGGCGGTGGAAGCACTCACACCCTACGGTTACTGCTAACTCACTAATCCCCCAGCCAGGGCCAGTGACGCCCCGCCCCCGCAGAATGAAAGGATGTAAAAAGACTGCGCTTGCGCAATCAGTGCGCGGCGTTTCAAGATTCAAGCTCCGCCCTCCTATACACCCCGCCCTTTCAGCAGCGCGCAGTCGCAAAAGAAACATGCTTCGGGCTGAGGGCTAGCGTATGGCAAGTTTTCTCGCCGATCTTCCGGCCGGCTGGAAACGTGAGGTACGAGCTTCACTTCCTGCGGTTCCGGCCGTTGGTGTGGCGGCTCCCGGCTCCCGAGGCGGGGGCGGCCGTCTCTGCCTCTCTCTTGTGAGCGCGCGGCCGAACAACCATGAAGATCACGCGGCAGAAGCACGCGAAGAAGCACCTCGGCTTCTTCCGCTACAACTTCGGCGTCCGGGAGCCGTACCAGCTGCTGCTGGACGGCACGTTCTGTCAGGCGGCGCTGCGGGGCCGCATCCAGCTCCGCGAGCAGCTGCCCCGCTACCTCATGGGGAAGACGCAGCTCTGCACCACCAGGTCGGCCCGGGCGGCGGGGCGGGACGCAGCGGGGAGGCGCCCGGCGCCGGGAGGGGCGTGCCGGCGTCGGGGGAGGTCAGCACCCCGGGGGTCCGAGCTCTCCTGCCTCTGTGTGTGACGCTGCGCGAGTCGCCCACCTCGCCCAGCGTTAGTGTCCTCATCTCTAGAATGAGGATGACGATATTACTGGTTTGTGAGTGAGGGGAGGGGCTTCGTCAACCATGAAGAGCAACGCAAACTGAAAACGTTTAAGTGTTACTTACTCTGCAGGAGGCCACTGGTCCTCTAACTGAAGTGGTAGGAACATTTCTGGTTGGGGGCCGGGAATGGGGAGGGGGCGGGGCGTGTGTTTGAATTTGACAACATCCTCCTCCAGCCCTAAGATCCATCTCTCTGGTCTGATCCGTGCATCCACCAAAGTCTCCCCTGTTATCTCATTTTGGCTCAGAGTTTACGTCGGATTTTGTAAAGACTCTGCCAGAAGAACCCAAACCTAGTGCTCATGTAGCACTTTCACTTCTTCGAAGTGAGACGTTATCTCATTTGAGCCTCACTACCACCCGGTGAGTTAGGTGCTATTATCTTTTTTACTGATTGGGAAACTGAGGCGGAGACACCAAAGTGCCTCAGCGACCCAGGGAGGCAAGGCTGTTACTGTTTGCACTTTAGAGAAGGTAACAGTGGCACCAAGAGAGGTTAAGGGACTTGCCCAGCCTCCCATGTCTATTAAGTGAGGCAGGATTTGAACTCATATCTTTCTGACTCCAAATCTAGCACTCCATGTACTGCTCCACTTGGCTCACTTTAAAAACTTTTTTTTTTCCTTAGGATGGGCTTACTTGAGTGCAAAGAGACACATCGCCAGAAGTTAGCCATCAGTCAGTTGATCAACATGCTTTTCTTAAAGTGAGATAGTCTAAGAGTTTATTTTTGCTATAGAAACACCCTACTAAGGCATATCAATGGCAGTCTGAAAAGAGATGAAATTTCAGGTCTTGCTGACTATTCAGTAATATTTGTAGCATAGGAAATTAAGTTGTTTGTGGGTAGGGACAGACCCTTTCTTGCATTCATTTTGCACATTCATTAGACACTTTCTGAGGACTGTACTAGACAATTGGAAATATATATACTTTAGATAAGAGGTTTATGCCTTCATGGACCTTATTCCTGGAATGTCCTTCCTCCAATTAGCTTGTTGAATTTCTACCCATTCTTTAAATCCCTACTCAAGTGTCCCTTCTCGGTGAAACCTTCCAATTTGTTCCTTGGTAGTGATGATTTTTTTTTTCCTTGTATCTCACAAAGCACTTTATTTCCCATCTCTCAAATGCACTCATCATGTAATTTGAGTTTTATTGTTAGTTATCTGTGTATGAGGGCACACTGTCTTGTCTTTAGAGTTGGAATGAGAATAATAACATTCCAGAGAGCATGTAGTCTACCACTCCATTTTAGAGAGGAAAATAGGTTCAATGAGATTTAGTGACTTAAAGTTTTAGTATAAGTTACCTATCCACACCCATCATTTGCGTTTCTATTACCTTTTGTATGATGACCATTTTTGAATCTCCAGAAACTGTGATGTTACTCATAGAATATTGTTATTTAAAAGGAGGGCCTTTATTTCTAGGGGAAGTTTGAGGTCATTAAAGAAGTTTTGTGGTTTCCCAAAAAGCAATTCATGCTGTTTTCCTCCTCCTGTTTAGTTGTGGGTTCAGCTCATCTTCCAGCTGAACTTATCCTACACACATATACATATATTCATTTTAGAGCAAAGATGAGAACGATACCAAATTTGAAGAAAATAAGAATTTGATCAAGGATAACATTGTGTTGGCAATCCAACACAGTGTTGCCCTCAACAGGAGCATCTGGAGAACCTTACTCGCTAGGGAATCCCTCCTTGATTTGTACTCTGCGCTAGATCTTCTCCAACACAGTGTTAATAATACCTTGGACGAGTATAAATCTCCCTTTTGTATGTGTTGCCTTATGAGAGTCATTGAATAAGGTAATTCTTCCAAGAAATAGTCAACGGTCATCATTTATATATGAGTGGCATCTTGTAAAAGAGCTTATAAATGCAGTGTTTTGTCATCAACGAATAATAAGCAGAATTGAGATCTAATAGCCCCTACGTCTTTGACTTAACTATGAAATAGTAAAGATGTGGTCTGTTGTTGAATATGATTTTTGAAAGCCTGCTTGTTCTATCTCATGTTTTCATCGAATGTCCTTGTATATCTAGATATGTGTATCTAACGTATACATTATATATAAAATATATAAGCATTTAGTTTTACCTAATTTGTATTCATGTTTATCTTTCTATTTGATGTATGTTTTTTCCCCTCATACATTCTGCGCTTCCAACCTTATTACTCATTTAAAACTATTATGCTCAAATTGCTAGTTACCTGTTTGCCAAATCCAAGGCATTTTCTCATTTTTTCTTATTTCTTTTTGGCATTTGACACTATTCCACTTTACCTCTTAGACTGTCTTCTGGCTGGGTTTTTTATCACACTCTTTGTTCTCCTGCTTGACTAAGCCCTCTCAGTACACTTTAACTGGTTCATTGTTTACGTCATATCCATTGATTGTAAACGTACCTCAAGGAACTGTCTTTTTTTTTTCTTTGATCTTTCTATACTCTCTCATTTAGTGACCAATTTAGAAACCAATTACACGGTTTCCAAAGATAATTTCTTTGCAGGTTAAGTCTTAATTCTGACCTTCAGTCACTCATTACTAATTACCTATTGGATATTTCAACTTGGGTATCTCATAATCATCTCAAACTTGATGTGTCCAAAACAGAACTTATATGTCCTCTCCTATTCTCTTGTCTTTTGAACTAATTTCCATATTTTTGGCCCAGGATACTGCTGTCCTAGTCAACCACATTCACAAACTTTTTGTCATCCTTAACTTCTTACTGTTACACACTCCACATATCTAATCAGTTATCATATCTTACTATTTCTAATTATATGACATCTTTTGAAATCATCCTCTTCTCTCCACTCACACTACCACCACTTTGCTTCAAGTTCTAGTGAACTGTCTCCTGGACTATTGAAATAGCCTACTAAGTACTAAGCTTCTTGTGAGTATAGATTATTTATTCTTTATATTTATATTTTTAGCTACTAGCACATAGTAGGTGCTTAATAAATGCTTTTGATTGATTTGTCTCTCTGCTTCAAGCTTCTTGCTACTCCAGTCCATCTTGTCACACAACCACCAAAGTAATTATTATGGAATGTTGACCTGACCATGTCATTCTCCCTCCCCTCCCCCACTCAATAAACTCTGGTACTTTCCTCTTACTTAATGGGAGCAAATATAAACTCCTCTGTTTGATATTTAAAACTTCCCTCCCACTCCCACGTATAGCCTTATCTGGCTACTTACTGTTCCTTCCACATCCAGTGTCATGTCTTCTAGCTTCTTGTACTCCAGGCTTTTCAGTTCAAGCTCTATCCTGTCCTGGGTCCTGGCAGCTGCTAATGCCTTCCCATCCAAGGTTATTTTGTGTCTGCTTTGATGTACTTGTTATTTTCTTTCATAGACTATATTTTGAGGTAGTGACTTTCATTTTTGTCTTTGTATCCACAGTGCCTAGCATAGTGCCTGGCACATAATAAGTAGGTGTTTAATAAATCCTTGTTGATTGACTTTTTTTTTTTAACCAGGGTTTTCTCTTTTGGTTGGGGGTGGTGAAAGTTAACATTCTAAGTTCATTATTTGTTTGGATTTACCATATAGCATTTATGACTAAAAGTATAATTTTAACACCTTTTATTTGAAAGAAAAAAATACATTCTAAATGTGACCTGTCATAAATGTTTTACTGTCATATGTCAAAAAGAACTATTTCTCTTATAAATGCTTCCCAATATTTAAAGATCAAATTTTTTTTCAGATGTGTGTTAAAGGAATTGGAATCATTGGGGAAGGAGTTATATGGTGCAAAACTAATTGCACAAAGGTGTCAGCTTCGAAGTTGTTCCCATTTCAAAGATGCAGTCAGTGGTGCTGAATGTCTGTTATCCATGATTGAAGATGGAAATCCTCACCATTTTTTCATTGCAACACAGGTAATATTGCCTATAAAAAATTATTGATGTTTTGCTTTGTTTTTTTTTATACCACAGTAACTTCCAAATATGCACCTTCCCATTGAAACCTCCCTTAAGATAAACCAATAAAGCAAGACTACCTATATATGAAAAGCAGGAGAGCTACATAGGAATTGGTGTTGTTCAGTCTTTTTTTTCAGCCACGTCTAACACTTCATGAACCCATTTAGGGTTTTCTTGGCAAAGATAACTGGTTTTCCATTTCCATTTCTAGATGAGGAAACTGAGGCAAACAGAATTAAGGACTTGCCCAGGGTTTCACAGGTAGTAAGTGTCTGGGGTGCGATTTGAACTTGGAAAGATGGGGCTTCCTGACTCCAGGCCCAGAACTTTATCCACTCTACTACCTAGCTCCCTCTGCATAGGAATAGCAGTTAACACAGCTTTATTAATACTCAGAAGGGGAATAGGGAGTATATGTCAACAGGGAATGCTCTCAATGTGCAGCCCCCACTGCTCTCAACTCATGGAAGCATGGTTTCTGGATGCAGCACCATTTAGGCTTTTGTACTCTGATTGAAGGCTTAAAGCCCTCAGGGCCCATGCTACATAGAGTTTTAGAAAAAGAGCCAGCAAGGCACAAATTGGAGACTGCCCTGTTATCTTTAGGGCAAGAGAGTAATATGGGGACAGTTAGGTGTTGCAGTGGATAAAGCACTGGCCCTGGAGTCAGGAGGACCTGAGTTCAGATTTGGCCTCAGACACATAATACTTACTAGCTATGCGACTCTAGGCAAGTCATTTAACCCCAATTGCCTCACCCAAAAAAAGAGAGAGAACGAGAGAGAATAATATACTTGCACTGATGAAATGAGGGATTTTCTAAATTGCCTGATGAGGAGTAAGGGATGAGAAGGATGCAAGGAATAACTTAACTGTGCCATCCAACAAGAGATTTGGGTGGGAGAGGGGTATGGAAGTAATACCCAGTCTCTGGGTTAATTAGCCTTTGTGCATCCTAATGTGCCTATATGTATCTTAAGGGGTTGAAGGTATACCACTCAAACCAGTTTTTAACCTGTCTACTACAGCTGACAAAATCATCCCATCTGATAGCAAGAGCTTTTCTGAAGCCTTATACACTCTTGTACAGCCAGGCACTTAACAGAAGTGGACCATGCTGCAGACTTCCTTCTCCCCTGGGAGTTGCAGGGCTCCACGTGGACCTGTCCCCCTCCTGGGCTCTCCAGCCCCTTTAGCTGGGGCAGTTTCAGTGCCTAGGGTCCCTGCAGTAGCAGCTCCAAGCTGAGGCCCCTGAACTGGAGCTATGGCCATGTGGCCCTCCTCCCTCTTTACTGTCTCTGTACTGAGAGGAGATAAATTTATTCTTTGGGAATGAGATTGGTCATTGAAATTCATCAAATTTCACCTACATCACTCTGCATTCATCTTTCCTTGTTCCTCTGAATTCCTCATAATTCATTTAAAATATTCTTTTACATTGTTTTATGCTGCTTTTGTTAAACATTTTTGCTTTTCAATAGCTTCAGCAGTTCAGCTGACTGAAACAAGATGTTCGTCCTCTGTCCAGCATTTACTTCAATCAGCTTTTCCCAAACTTGAAGCATCCAATAATCCCATTGTCCTCATCTTTGTTTTAGATGTTTGATAAGTGCCTTCTGCACTGGCACATAATAATCTGAAAAATAAAAGTAAGATTCTCTTTCAGTTTTAGTGATACTAAGTATTTAGAAAGAATTCTCTTTCAGAGGTCTTCAGTCGTATTGGTAGGTTTGTAATGTGCTCCTGAATAATTCCTGATTAATGTTTGTTTTTTCATAGGACCAGAATTTATCTCTTCAAGTAAAGAAAACACCTGGAGTTCCTCTCTTGTTTATCATTCAGAATACTGTTGTTTTGGACAAACCTTCTTCAAAAACAGTTACCTTTGTCAAAGCAACAGAATCGGGGCATCTTGTCTCTGTTCATCAGAAACAGAGCATCAAGAAACTCAAAGAAGAACAAGGTCTAGTAAAAACCCCTGAACAGAAGAAGAAGAGGAAACGCAAAGGGGTGAGTGGTCCCAATCCTCTTAGCTGTCTGAAGAAAAAGAAGAAGGTACAAGATTCAAACCAGTCTTCTGCCCCTGAAAAGAAAAGAAGGAAAAGAATTCGTAACAGAAATAGAACGAAAGCACTTTCCCGTGCCATCAGTGAAACAGAATGAAGAAGTATAATGCAACTCTATGGATTAATTGAATTGAAAAGTTTTTAGAGATTGACTAAACTCTTTATTTCTAAAGCAAAATAAATAAAGTTTATGATTTGTGTTAATGTATGAGATGAAAATTTAAAGACATCTCCATAAATTTGCCTGGGCCTGTTGATTGTTACCTGAAAAATAAAATCAAAGAGTGAACAAGAATTGAATACAATATAAAATATGACAGTTCTACCCCTGCCTCCCTTTCTCTTACCTCCTTGGCTCCCCAAGTCATTCTTGTTAAGTTATTAGTATTTCCTTTGATGCATTGTTGCTTTGGAATTAGCAGCTCTGAACCAGATTGTGAGTTGGAAGTTCAAAACACAAATATGACTTTAAAATGAATAGGTAATAGAGATTTTACCTCATGCTTGGTGCACCAGATTAGTAATATTTATACATATTAAATTAAGTCATTGTTCTTCCTTTCCTCTTAGATTGGGAGCTGGGTTAAATGACTGACTTTGGAAAAATGAGATGTCAGATTTAATATGTGCATATTATTATTTTATATTGTTTTATTGGTTTCCTCTAAAAATAATCTTAAAATTTCATAGTATGAAAATATTTCATAATAATTTTATACATAATAGCACTCAATTTCAATAATAGTTTTGTTTTTCCTAAATTAGTTCAAATGATGCCTTTTCATTGTATGTCACTATCATCTCTGGATTTACCTTTACCCTCATCCTATCCACCCTCAAATTTAGCCCTTCCTTATATCAAACAAAAACAGTTAAGTGATCATATCAGATAACGTATGCAACGTTCTGCCATTGTGATCCCCTTTTTCTCTGTCAGGAGGGGCAGATTTCATTGTATGTTCACCTGGCTTGTTACTGGTTTCTGAATTACTTAGAAAGGTCTTTGATTTCTTTTTAGTGATTTATGCACTTATGTTGTTAACAGTCATGTTTATTATACTGAGTTTGCTTATCTTATTCTCCATCAGTTCATATACATAGTTCCAGATTTCACTGGATTTGTCATTTCTTCACTATGATCAATTATATTTATGTGCCACAGTTTTTCAGCCATTTCCTAAATCAATGGATACCACTTTGTTTTAAAACATGTTTTTGATATGTATTTTATTTGATTTTTCACCTCCTGCTCAAGGATGGAGTTGCTGGGTCAAAGCACCTATGAGCCACTTAGTCACTTGTGTCACATTTCCAACTTGTTTTCCAGAGCAGTTGGGCCAATGCCATTTTTCCCATGCTTTGGAATATTAATCATTACCATTTATGTCTTATCTGTCAATTTGTAAGGTGTGAAGTGAAACCTCAGAATTGTTTTATTTTGCATTTTTCAGTGATTTAGATCCTCTTTTCAGAAGGTTATCATTTGCAGTTTTGAAAACTTCATATTCTTTGATCACTTGCCTATCAGGGAATGGCTCCTGGTCTTATTTTTAGTATCAATTCCCTATGTATCCTGGATCTTAGACTTTGGTTATCGATGATATCGGATGCGAAGATTTAGCCTGCTCAACAGTTTGACTTTTTATTCAATTTACATTAAAATTGTGCAAAAGCTTTTGATTTTAAGTAAATAACAGTTTACTTGTCTTTTATCGATTATTCTCTCCCTTTTACTGATTGTGAAAAATTACTCATGCTCAATATTTTTTTAAAATGATGTAATCATTTATATTCAACTCATCCATTTAGAGCTTGTTGTGATATATAATATAAAATGTTGCTCTAATTTCTGCCAAAATGCTTTTCAATTTTTTAAGCTATTTTCAGATAAGAGTTCTTCCAATGATTTGTTCTTGGTGGGTCTAATGGACCAGTCACAGTTTTATTTACTTAACATTTTTTTGCTACTCTCTTTAGAAGCTGAAAAATGTTCCCATCACCCATTTTTACTTTAAATTTGCTGATAGCCTAGACTATTAGGGGAGTGGGGATGGAGAGGAAGATGATCTAACGATCTTTTTCATCAAGAACTGTCAAAGTGCCTGAGTCTGCCATAAATGTTTGAAAAATGGCCCAGACTCCTTTTCCGTCTCTTATTCATACACTGAGTATTTTTAATACTTTAACACTAAAGTACCTTTAGGTAACGAAGATGAGTGTCAAATCAAACGTGTACCTTTTTTCTTGGTTTTGCAGACAAATTGTGTTAGTTTGTTTCTTAAAGGTTATCTCAATCAGAGTTTGTCAGCCTTAAACTCAAATGCAACTGTGGAAAAGCTATATTATATTAGATGTGTCCCTCGTGGTTAGCACAGTGCTTGGTACATAGCAGGTGCTTAATACATGTTTATTGAATGAATAAATGAATTTTTGAGGAATGCTAATCTTTGATTTCATTGCCCATTGGGAAGCCCTCCAGTATGCAAAACAGCAACTTTTACTTCTAGTCTTAGAGAACTCCTTAAAGCACTAAATTTTTATAAATATTTTTTTAAAAAGCATTGATAGCTATTTAAAAAATATCATCTACACTTCCTAATGTATCCTACTTCCCAACCCTCCATTTTTAAAACAATAAATTAAAAAAAATTTTTTAAATAGTTCAGGGGATACTAAAAGTTGCCATAGAGGCAGGATCTGAACCCAGGTCTTCTGATTACAAGGCCAGCTTGCTATCTACTACACTATGCTGCTTCTGTACTAATATGGTATTAATAGAATTGTCGATCATAATCAAGTGAGATAATATTTGTAAAGGGCTTAGCACAGGGCTTGGCACATTGTGGATGCTTAAATGCTTGTTCCGTCCTCTTCCCTAACATCTGAAGAAAAATTCCATTTATTCCAAAAGTTCAGTTTGTTTTTTGTTTTTTAAATAAGAGGTGTATTTTGTCAAAAGCTTTTTTAGCATCTATTGATACAATCATGATTTTCATTATTTTTATATGGCATTATGTTTATGATTTTAATATTGAGCCAATCTTGCATTCCTGGTATAAATTCACTCTTCACTTAATTGTACTATTGTTTTATCTAGTGTTCTAGACTAGGTGCAAATCAATCCTTTTAGATCAGAGGTTATTAACTTTTTTGTGTGTTGTGGAACCCTTTGGCAATATGGTAGAGCTTATGGAACCCTTCTCAGAATGATCTGAAATGTATAAAATGAAGTACATAGGACTACAAAGGAAACCATATTAAAATACAGTTGTCAAGATATTAAAACAAGTTCGCAGAACTCATGCACTGTTTTAGCTATTATATAACAAGAAATAAGAATTTGAGAAATTTCTCAAGAATTTTGAGAAAAAATTCTTGAGAAAATTGAGAAACCCCAATATGTGAAAATTTAAGCAGTTACCAATCTTAAAGAGTATGTGAGTGCTTTTGTCACTTTGGCTTATATGGTAACTACATTAAATATGAAAGGATTTTAGATGTGCATAGTAGTTGTAAAAGTTGTTCAGTATGATAGGTTTGAGTCACGGGGACTCAAATTCAATCGTAATTTGGCTTGTTTTGTCTCCACTGGTGAGAAAAAATTGGAAACTAGTACATATTCATTTGTTCATTGTGATAACAGACCCAGTCAAGGAGTAGCACTGAAAAAGTCAAGTATTTAATTAGGAGAGAAGTAAAATAGTATGACAACAAAAGCAATTACAGCACACATTCCAAAATAAGTGAAGTATCATTGCCCAGCAAATGTTTTGGGATGTAGGCATCTTCAAATTCGTAATTACTGTAGTTGAGGCGTGAGCTTAGTTTTTCTCTGTAGCTCAAACGACCTGCTTTCCCTATTCATGTCTGTATGACAAGTCAGTGTGCAACCAGCTTTTCGGATCCCCTATGGCTCCAGGTTGTACTATCTCCCTGCCATATCCAACTTAATTTGCCTTCGGAACTCTTGCACTTACCCAGTAGCTGCCTCCTGATGCTCAGTGTGGGATGAGGGAGAAATTAGATGTTGAGAGTGTTGTTGCACGTCAAAGGCCAGAAAACTTCCCACCATCTACACAAGCTGAGCACAGGGAAAGGAGAGTCGTATACACATCAGCCTTACGGCTATCGGTTACATGAGATGAATACTTTGAAAACTTTGAAGTGTTACACTAATGTGAATTACTGTGATTACTATGTAAAAACCTAGGAGGAAGAAAGGTGCCTAATGATTAGAGCACTAAACTTGGAGTCAGGGAGACCTGAGGGAGTTCTACTGCAGACACTAGCTGTGGTACCCTTGGCAAATCATTTAACCTCCCTCAGCTTCCTCATCTGTAAAATGGGCATAATAATAGCATCTATCTTCTAGAGTCATGAGAATTAAATGAGATGAAGTGTTTAAAGTGCTTTGTAAACCTTAAAGCACTATGTAAAATTAGCTATTAATTATTAATAGCTCTCTACAGATGTTTGAAAGATAAGAAAGGGAAAGGGCAGGGAATAAGCATTTTAAAAGCACATACTATGTGCCAGGCACGGTGCCAAGCACTTTACAAATATCTGAGTCTCCCAACAACATTATGAGTGAGATAAGTGCTATTATTAACCCTACTTTACAGTAGAGGAAACTGAATTAGAGAGAGGTTAAGTGACTGAAGATCACACAGCTAATAGTTTTTGAAGCTGGATTCAAATTCAAGTCTTCCTGACTCCAAGCCAAGTGCTCTACCCACTGTGCCACCTAATTACCTCAATAAGAAGGATTAAATTTATGTAGCTCCAAAGAAGGAAGAGAAATGGGACAAATGGGTAGAAGTGACAAGGAGGCAAATTTCAGCTCAATATGTGGAAGAACTTTCCCAAAATTGGTTCTATCCAAAATCATTATAGGCAGACTCATAAGGTACTGAATTCTCCATCACTGGAATTCTTTAAGCATTATCCAACCCCTTATTGGAAATGTTGTAGAGGAGATCCATGCATTGGGCAGAAGGGTGAACTAATTAATCTTTCCAACTTTAAGATTCCATTGTTGCCATGGTTTATTGCTCCAATTCATCCAAAGTTCGCTATCTTACCTGAGAGAGACAGAGAGAAAGAGAGAGCCCTGAATGAGGTTTGTCTTACCTCCCTCCAAAGCAACCTTCTGTAGGGTTGACTGGATATGAGCATAACATACGGAATCATGCTTTACTTTTAGTTTCTAGTTGGCTGTAATTTGATGATCACAAGCCTTTGCTAATCACTAATAAGTGTATATGCCAGCTCACAATATAATACTGTCAATACAGTTAATTTCCAATAACCACCAGAATCCTTTGACCTTTCTCCTTGACCTCTTGTGAAGGTGATTATTCTCGTGTCTTCTCTCTTTTCTCTCTCCCATGGCAAGATGACCTGAATATTCAGCACAGTTTTCTTATCACTTCTCTCATGGTGTGATGAACTTAGCATTCTTGGCCAACTGACATCCCACCCCTGTCCTTGCCTACCTTTACAAGGCAGTCAAGAAATAAATTTGGGCCAACTACTTAGGATGTAGTTGTGGTTAACACTTCACATACAGGGGTAATAGTATATACATTTTATACATTGGAATATAAAAATGTCACAAAACCAAAAGTATAATTTCCCTAGGCAGCTACATACCAAATTTTTAGAAGCTTGGAATGCTGGCTTACACTGACTATGAATATATTACTTCATAGGTAGAGAGGAACAATAGTTATGATTATTAAATACTGTTTTACTCTCTGTTGAATTTCTGGTTTCTGAGCTGAGGTTTTTTGTTTATTTGTTTGTTTGTTTTTGGTGATGCTGGGGAGTGCCCTTGGATCTTTCAACAACTGATCTAGTCCAGACACACCATACCACAATGGTGGTTAATCTGTGTCTTATGCTTTCTGTAGACAATTGTACTCATATTTTTTTCTTCAATATACTCCTTACCTACTTAAATGCCCCAAATTCACTAAATCAACTGACAAGTCACATTGCATTCATAAGCATCACTTCTACACTCTCAGACTGGTTCAGAAAGCCACACAAATTGCAATAGATAACAAAATGTTGAGTCTTCTAATCTTCCAATACAAGCATAAGCATAATGAAAAAGTTTTGATAGATTGGCAGAGAAACATTTTCGTGGGAAGAATTTAAAAGATATATTTATCTTTTTTCTCACAATGCCTTGAGTGAGTCATAATCACAAATTATAGTGGTCCTTGATTAGCTCATCTACTTAATGCTGTCAGCAGATGTTCAGGGAATGATTTATATTATAAACAAAACCCTCCAATATTATCTCTTGCCTGGACTACTGCAATAGCCTCCTAATTGGTATTCTTTATCCCACTTTCTTTGTTTTCTAGTAGTACATCCTTCCCACAGCTGCCAAATTGATAATCCTAAAACACAAATCTGGCTATGTCACCCAGGTCATTCAAAAATATTCAATGGCTTCCTTTTGCCTTTAGGATGAAACACAAAATGTTCAGTTTGTCATTTAAAGCCCTTAACAATGTGACTGCTACCTATATTTCCAGCCTGACATTCCAACCCTGTCCTTTGGGCCTTTTCATAAGTGATGTCTCATTTATGGAACTCATTCTCCCCCCACCTCAACCTCAAGGAACTTCTCAGGTGCTCCATATTACCTGAGGCTTTTCTGTTTGGTGCCCATGGATGGGAGCAGTAGGCAGCATGGACCCAATGGAAGAATGCTGGGGTAGGATGGGAGGGGCAGGAGTTTGATGTCTCACTTTTGTAGTTTTTTTTGCAGGGGGGAGGGGGAGAAGCCAATTTCTATCTGTGCCACCTCAGGGTTAGTTCATTAACATATCCAAATCATCTCAAAGCTATCAGCACTTTTTGATGTTCTATTGGTCTGGATCTGTGGAGGTCTGGATTTTGTCTGGGACTTACATATCATAGAACCAAAAGCCTTGATAGTAGCACCTCTATGGTGGGCTGGGCTGAAGTCTCTTCATACCTTCAACCCCTGATCTTCCCCTGAGCATTTGCCCCAGGGGCAAAAATTCTTAGATACAGTTCTGAGCATGGAACTTTCTGTCTTTAAAATGAGGGTGTTTGACTTCATGAGATTTAAATTTCCTTTCCTCCTCTGACATTCTATCATTCTTTGACAGCAACAGGTGCTGAATGGTATTAGGCTGAGAAGGCAAGGTTTTTATAATTGCTGTCAACCTACTCCACATCCCAGGAGTCATTTCTGTGTGTCACCAAACAAAGGCCTGTACCCACTGATACAGGAAGGAGAAGATGGGAACTGACCTCCTAGTCCTCACTGGAAGGTCCAACTGCAAAGTGATGCATTACCATTTTTATTCATATATAACTACAGAGACTGCTTGGAACATAGTGGGGACAGAAGCTGAACCATTCTGTCCTGCCTGAGGGCTGCCACACTGGTGAC